CAGCATGCTGAAATTTCAGTCTAACCTCATTCAGGGTACTTATGAAACTAGCACATGGAACCCTGGAATGCAACAGATGCAAATAAATTATTTGATATCCCACATCAACAGAAAGAAAAATAAAAATCATATGATCATTTCAATAGATGTAAAAAAGGCATTTGATAAAATTATGCATCATTTCATGACTATAAAAAATAGCACTCAACGAATTAGATTTGGAAGGAATGTGTTTCAACAATATATAGGCCAAATATAAAAAACCAACAAATAACATCTTATCCACCATAACATCACACTTATTTGTGGTTGTCATTCTAGTTATAATTTGGAGCTATCATCATTGTGACATTAAATTGTGTTGCATAAATTCATCAGTTTTTCCCTTTCTGAAGCCCTCCACAGTCACCAACAGCATCTAGAATATCTTATGGGAGCTTATCTATATAAATTAGTGAAAATAAGACTAGGTACTAAATGAGAAAATTCTGAAATCACAGTGTTATGAGCATAAAAGTTTTCTTACCCACATATCATTCAATAATTTGTTTAATGGAACTTGTGCAATGATTTAGTGACCCAGTTTCTTTCTATTTAGGTGTTTTATCATTCCTCATTGCCTGCATCTCTCTCTGTAAAGGATGACAAAGAAAGGGAGCAAAAAAAAAAAAAGGAACAACCATATGGCGATTTGATGTGGTAGATTTGGAAGTGGCACATATGACTCCTCATATTTCATTGATAAAAAGATAATCACCTGGCCATAATGAAGTACATGAAGAGTAAGAAATTGAGACTAAGTTTATTCCTAGGAATAAAAAGAAAATAGTTTCGAAAACAACTAACCAGTCTTCACCGCTGTATTGCTTAAGATTGTCAAATGCCCATTTTATACAAACTCACACAGGGAGAACATAGTACCCACCTCCACTAGGGAGACAACCTGTTTCCCAACTAAATAATCTAGAAGGTCGATGTCCAGGCTATCAAAGAGTTAGATCACTCTCTCCATTCAGTCCAGATAAGGCTCACTATGGTCTAGTAACTTATGAATGAAAAAGAACACTTAGCTCACTATTTATCCACATCTATTACATAGTGTTAGACAAGAATAAAAATAATTAGAAAACAACTCCCTTTCACAAAAGACAGTAATGGAAAACACCTAATCCAGTTTTGAAATCTTGCTTAACTGACATTTAGAAGGCCCTCCTCAAATGAAATATATTTCTTTATGAGACTTTGTTTGCCATTGCTTTTCTTGGATCATGGTATAATTTCCTAAATGTTTTTTGTCCATTATTCTCTTTTATGAATTTTTATTAGCATATAATTATATTTACAATGTATCTTAATTAGATTCAACCTCTCTATCATTGTCTCTCATTCCCCCTCCCCCAATTTTAGAATGCAAAATACATCCACCATATTCACCCTCTCATTATATTTTACCCCCACAATGGTACCCACCTCTGAACAGGGCCTGTTTTATCTTCTTGTCCATTATTTATTAAATGTATATTAATAGTTCAAGGGGGGTTCATCTTGGTATTTTCATGCATGTATATATTCTACTTTAATCAGATTAACCCCCTCTGTTACTTACTTTTTCCCTATTCCCTTGCTCCCTTATTTTTCAAAAGCTTTCAGTGCATTACATTATATTATCTTCATACACAAAGGCTATGTTTCAATATTTTTCACCCTCTAACATTCTCCTTCCCTCTCATGCCTCCCCATATTCCCACTAATACAATTGTGTACCTTCTTTCTCATATATGAGATATAATCTATATTATATAATATATGTACACATATGTATACTAGATTATATGTGCATTAATGTGTACAATTATCTTATAGGTCTAGTTTCCATATATGAGGGAAAATGTGAACTTTAACCCTTCGAACCTGGCTTACTTCACTTAGCATAATGTTCTCCAGTTCCATTCCATGTACCTGCAAACAACATAATTTCATTTTTCTTTGTGGCTGAATATTCCATTATGTATATATACCACATTTCTTAATCCATTGAACTGGACTGTTTCCAAAGCTTATTTTGGGCTGTTTTAAAGGCATTATTCTTGATTGTCATTTCTGCAGTATATCAAAGACAAAACTATGCCCAATGCAAAATTAACAAAGGCAATATATTCACAAACTTTCAGCAAGGGAGACCATCTCCCATCACTTCCCATCATTAGTTCACAGACCTTAGAAAAGAGAGTAAGTTTATTTTGTAAAATGAATAATTACTAAATCAGTGACTCATTGGTAAGTGTTTTATTAAGATGAGATTTTGGAGCCAGGTGTCAGTGGCTCACACCTGTAATCCTAGCTGGTCAGGAGGCAGAGATCAGGAGGACTGCGGTTCAAGGCCAGCCTGGGCAAATAATTCACCAGATCCTATCTTGATAAACCTAACAAAAAGCACTGGTGGAGTGGTTCAAGGTGTAGGTCCTGAGTTCAAGCCCCAGTACTGCAAAAAAAAAAATGTGATTTTGGAAAGTGAAAAGATTATCTCATCAGTCTTCAGTTTCACTGTCAGTCCTTGACCAACTCTACAGTGACAAACAAACTCTGAAGAACTTCAGAAAGAATTTTTCAGTGTTCAGGGCACAGAGTTTTTTGATTCAGTCAATTTCCTGGAACAAACTGGAGTCTCTTTCAAGAGAATATGGAAGTTATCCCCTCCTGGTGTGTGCAGTTTTACAGCTTACTTTCACCCATGTAATATGAAATTTCTGAAATTATTTTAACAATCAGTAAAAGGATTTTTAAATCAAGGCTCATAATTTTTTGAGAGGAACAACCTATAAAAACCTGGAGGTTTCTCAGATTCCTAAGATGAGTCCCATATGTTAATCGCTTCACCTAAAATTCTTCCTATTTATGTCTTTCTAGCAATGATTTATGCATTCAATTTATAACCTCTAATGGTATTTAAGGCAATACTGGCAGAATTAGATACAGGTTGCTGGTAACACACCACTCAAAATGACAACATAAAGTAATAGCTGATTATTTATTATATGTGGATACTAGAACAGAAACTGGACATTGTTGATAAACTGGTGAAATCTGAATAAAAATTATTTAGTAGTCATGCACTAATGTTGTAATTATTGAAAAATGTACACTATATCAATGTGATAGTGTTATGAGAAGTAGAATATACAGAACATGTTTTCAAAAGGCAACTGTTAGATGAGACTAAGGGAAGAGGAAAAGAATGATAGAGAATGAATAATATTAGATATGTTCCTACATCTATGTAGGAACAAGACACAATGAAATGCACTGAAGACTGTTGAGCAATACAGGGTAGGCGGAAAAGGGTGAGGAAGAATAATAGAGGGGTTAGACTGATTAAAGTATAATATAATTACAGAAAAAATACCAAGACAAAACCCCACTGAACAATGAACAGGCACTTAAATGATGAAAGACAGGAATGTAAAACAGATCATGCTAAGAAGAGGGCAATAGCAGGAGCGGGAGAGTAAATAAAGAGGGTAAAGGAGGGTGAGTATGATTAATGTACTTTCTATATGTGTATGAATATGGAACATTGAAGTCTGTCAAAGTCATTTTAAGAAGGGGAGTGGGAGAAAAGAGAGAATAATGGAGGGGCTGAACCAAACCTGGGTATAATATATGTAGGTATGGACATGTAACAATGAAACCCCTATTATATACTAATAAAAACATTTTTTAAAATAATACTGTCTTTTCAGAGTTGGTCAATGCAACTAATCCTTCAAATGAAAACAAACATTATAAATACTGAAAAAAAAATGGGAGAGGCATACAAACTTTTATAGTACCAACTAACATTTCTGAAAATTTAGCCTTGTTCCAAAATGCAAAAATTTAAATAATTTGAAAGAAAAATTATTCCATTAAGGAAACACATCACTTTTCCCATAGATTGGGAGCAAAATGAAATATTTGTATTACACCCACTCTTCCATAACCCTCTTAGGATATTCAAGCACAATTTTACACATCTTGAGACACTGAGTGCTTATAATTTTATAGTTCTTGAGTAAGTCACTTGCTAATGTAGTTAATATTTATAGAAAATTCCTATGAGAAAGACACTCTTGAGTACTGGGGGCAGAGCAAGAACAAATCAGGTTAAGCTACTGCTCTCAGGGGGTTTCCGTTCAATGTGAGGAATATAGAGGAACAAATGAACAAAAAAATCCAAAAGATCTTAATATTGATAAGTACCATGAAGAATAAAGGAAGCTGAGGAAAGAAAGTCCATGTGTGGTATTTCACAAAGGAGCTCATGGATGCTTCAAAGATCTACTTCCTCAGGAGGTATCATTTTAGCAGCAAACTAAGGGGAATGAGAACGTTATTTCAGACAGAGGCAACAGCAAGTAGATTCTGAGATAAGGGCATGCTTGGAATCATCCAGCAATAGCGAAAAGTTAGTGTGACTTCAATGGGGTGAATGGGTAGGAAAGTAACAAGAGATTATATGCTTCACCTAAAATATTATTTAATGAGTGACATTAATCATTTCAAAGCATTCACTGGCAAAAATGAACAGAGCTGTTATTTTCAGTGAGGTGTTTTTTGTTTTGTTTTGTTTTTATCAAATGTGAAGGGGTGAAAGTCATAAGCTTAAGATTAAAAATGACTTAATTATCTTTCCTCTTCTGTCTAATATGAACAGTTACTTTTTTAAAATTGTCATGCAAACATACTTTTCTTACCAAATAACTTAGTGATAAGTGAAACATTTCCTATTTAGATACTAATCATCTATACTGATAAAATGTATAAATAATAAGCATATACTTTATTCAGACTTCATTTAAAATGATGATGATTTTCTGATTTTGATGCTTATGTCTATTCTTCAACTAAAAATGTAAGTAATATCTCATGCAATTTTGTTTTAAATGTCTCACATGGTCACTAACATTTGAGTTATGGAAGAGATTTCACAGAAATGAAATAACATTTTATGGATGTACTCATTAAAGTACTAAACTCACAGACAGTTTTGCCTTTTGAACAACTTTCTTAAATGCACTCTTAACCTCCTTGTTCCTCAGGCCATAGACCACAGGGTTCAGCATGGGGATAGCCACAGTGTAGAACACAGACATGAATTTGTCTGTGTCCATGGAGTGACTGGAACTTAGCTTTAAGTACATGATGATGACAGTCCCATAGAACATGGAAACTGCAATGAGGTGAGAAGCACAGGTAGATAAAGCCTTCTGGTATCCCTCACCTGAGTGCATCTTCAAAAGAGTGATAAATATGAACAGGTAGGAAATTAAGATAATGAGAAGTGCAAAAACAATGTGAAAGCTTGACATAAGAATAAGAATGAGTTCATTTGTGTGTTTATCAGAGGATGCCAGAATCCTGACTGCTGGAATATCACAGAAGAAGTGATGGACCACATTGGACATACAGAAAGAGAGGGAGAATATGTCTCCAGTTTGCACAGAAGCATTAAAAAATCCAAAGACATAGGAGCCTATGGCCAGATGAGTGCACGTACTTTTTGTCATTATGGTAGAGTAGTGTAAAGGTTTACACACTGCTGTGTATCGATCATATGCCATTGAAGCCAAGAGGTAACTGTCCACAGTGGCAAACAACACAAAAAAGAACATCTGAGTAGCACATGCATTGTAGGAAATTACATCGTTTCCTATAACAAACCCAGCTATAACCTTGGGAGTGACTGTTGAGGAGGAACAAAAGTCTACCAAAGATAAGTTACTAAGGAAAAAGTACATGGGAGTGTGGAGACGAGAGTCCAACAGAATCAGCATGATCATTCCTAGGTTCCCAGTCACCGTGATGAAGTAGATAAATGTGAACACTATAAAGAGAGGAACCTGTAATACTCGAACATTGGTTAGTCCTAGTAGAATGAATTCACTTACTTCTGTATTGTTCTTCATGGATGTTAGTTTAGATTCACAAGATGTTCTATGGCAAAGAAACAAAAATATATAAACATTATTTTACTATGGCAATAATTTGTTCCATATTATCTAGATCTAAAGCATTGGAATGACAACACAATTTAGTGAATGACTTATCCAAGCACTGTTCAGCAAGGAAAGTCTTCATTGATTATCTTTTTAACTTTTTAATTTTATATATGAGTAAACTGAATTGCATGAAGTAATAATGAGCTGTCCAAGGTCACATGCCTGCAATGAATTCTTCTCCCAAATAAGATACTTGGGTCTACTGATAACTTTCCCTTCTATAATGTGCGCATGCTAGACACATTATACACATATATGCATTTAGTCCTTTGACCCCATAAAATTACTCACTATATCCATCTATCTATAAAGTAACAGTTACACAGATTTTGAGTAATTTCTTCTTATTTATATAGGTATTATTGATAGAACAAAGTCTTAGCTAAGTTAACAGTGGTTTCAACCCCTTGACATTGATGAATTTGAATTGATTTAAAGTTCATTAAATTTGCATTTAATCATTGTATCCAGTGTACAAAACTTGAAAACTGCACAGTAGAGTAACTCACAAATATATGCATAGTAGACCATATCAGATACTATTAGAAGCAGGTACAGCCAACAAAGGCAATTCTGAAGAGAAGAAATAATGTTGGATATAAAATTTGGTTTCTGGAAAGAGATGTGTTAACATTCATGTATCATCTCTACCATTTACTACTTGAAAGATATTAGTCTCAATCTAACTTCCTTCAATCTTACTTTATCCATCAGTAAAGCAAAGATGGAGCTGGACCTATCTCAAGGGGTTCTTGTAAGAGTTAAAAGACATAATGAATTAAAGCACAGCTCACTGTTGTGTTAATCCAAAACCTGATAAGTGATAGTTGTAGTATTATTATTAGAATGGAATGAAATCCCTATGTTGGATTAGGAGAGGCAGTAGACAGTACACAAGGCTCCAAGGTATGAGAGAGTTTTGAAAACAGGTAACCTTACCCTTTGGTTTACCTTTCCTATACAATATGTCCTTTAGGATATTTTGTTTCTCTAATATTTTTCAATCAGTTTTTCCTCTCTCATATGTGTGGCTATGTCAGCCATTCTGGATGAGCAAGTCAGGATTTTGAGTCCTATTGAGTTAATTTCTTCCTTGAAATCCACATTTTAGTTTGTGTTTGAAGGTTTCTATTCTTTGATTCGTCCTTATTGTCATTGCTATCATTATCTAGCTGCATCACAGCTAGGTAATGATATTCATGTTTCCCAGGTAAGTATGAAAATAATATATAGTAGGTAAATTATGTATAGAGTTAGAGATTATTGAAGCTGAGAAATCTTCATGGATAATTCCAAGACCTGTTTGATATGAGTAAGAGTGGTGCATAAAGAGGTAATAACTTGCCAAGATAACATATTTGGAATTAACTTGCCTCCCAAATCAGATTTCCTAGGTTCAAACCCAGCCTTATGATTAGCACTTTCTTGCCAATTTGTCCCAGAAAAGGAGAGAAAGAAAGGGAAGGAAATGAAAAAAAAGAAATGAAGGAAGTCACATGCATATATATGCTACTTCATTTATAGTTAATAAAATGGAGAATTCAAGTAGCTATGTGACTTCCTCACATTCCACATTTAGTATGACATCCAGTCAAGATTTAAATACATGTCCAATCAATCCTAATAACTGTGCTTTTTGTCATTGCATTATCAGAATTTCTAAATGAACAAGTAATAGAAGGGTGAGACTGTGAGGAAATGAAAGTGAAAATGGATTTCAGTTTCATGATGACCCTTCTGCAGTCTGAAGAATTGCCATTTCACTGTTTTGGTGAACTGCCCCCTCAGTGACAGGTTAAAACATGTAAACAATATGAATTTACCACCTACTCAACCCAAGTGTCATCTTATACTAAGTTTTTGTTCATCCTTGTAAGAAAAGCAACATACCATTTCATGAATGTCCCTCCACATTTGGATAATTTAATGAATTTTTGTATTTGAATTCTAGAGCCCTTTTGATGTTTTAGAAAAAAGTTTGAACAGCCACATCCAAGCTTAAAAACTCATAGAAGATGCAGCTGATCCACTGTTTCTGCACCAATTATATTTTTCACTGATTTTTTTGACTATGGTAACTTACCTTACTCCTTAAAAAGAAGGAAAAGACAATCTTGAGTTGTAAGTCTGGTACCAGAAATTCATCATTTGGAGAATATGTGAATAATTTTGGATAAACTCTTCCTCAGGTATTCATCAAAATGATCCAAGTTCCTGAAGCATCAAGAAATGGAGATACGGTCAGTAACATGGAGCCAGAATGCCTTACATTGATTTGTGCATTTACCATGTTTGGCCAGGCTCAGTTTCCATATTTATGGAATAGAAATAATAAAATTCTTTCCCGCAAAAAGATATTTCATGGAATTGTATCTAGCAAATGACAGGGATGGTGTATTTTAAACACTAAAATGTGTTAGCATTCATTTAAATAAATTTGTGGCCAAAGGGCCCAGCTCACACTCTGGTCCCTTAGAAATAATGTCATATAAGTCTATGTCCCACCTACCACAACCAACACACCTAGTCTCACCTGTAGTACTATCATATGAAGTCATACTGGTATTATAGATCTTAATATCTAGGAATCTGGTGAAAATTGTACAGACAGCAGTCTCAGGGGAAAAGATTCCCTTTGAGGGCAATCATTTCTCTTCATCCCACATATGTACTGAAGAAGCAATTAAATTGTGCCCAGGAACATAGTTTGATATGGTTAGTATCACATAGATGCTTTTTGGTACTTGCTGAACTTTTTCCTTCCTCTATTTTTAAATTAAACTGTCATTTACATACATGACTAATTGATTTAATCAATTTATGTTTGTTGTGATTATTTATATTTGTAAAATATTTCTAAAAACTCATTTTTCTGTCTGCCACAATTTTTTCTGCTTTCCATTTTTACTCTTTAGTTTATATAACTAAATGATCGAAATTTTAGCTGACTAATAAACAATATCCCTGTTTTCCCATCTTGAAATGGATAGAAGACACGGACCAACAAATATTCCACATTTCTCATGTTTTAGGAAGTGTCACTGTGAAGCATGTCCCCTATACTTTTCTTGTGGTAGCAAGGTTCCTGGTAAGACTGAGTCCCATGTGGCCTACATATATAGTCTACTCACTAGTGGAAAACTGAATTTTTGTCTTTCTCTCCCCTGATTCCCTTTCCAATTACTTTATCAATTTCTTTCTGCTATCATCTCCCAAATAAAATATGTGAATTTAAATCACTAACTTGGGGACTGCTTCTGGGAAACCTATCCTAATATACATTCAGTAATTATAGGTCTCTATTTTAAACAAGTAGATCCTAAACCATTAACCTTACCAAGTAAACAGAGCATCACAGGACACAAAACACCCTTGCTGTATATAAGACACACCAAACCAGAAGAAGAAAAACTGAGACCCAAAATTCACTCTATCCCTATTCTTCTTCCAAATTCTCAAACCAGATAAATTACATCTCCTCCCTCTGCTGAAACACTTCCACTGTACTTCTGCACCTGTGTTATAAACTAACTTTTGTTTTTTGTATATCTTGTAATGTTGGATTTTGCAAATTCACTCAAATGATATCTTCTTTTGAAGATATCATTTCACTATCTGTGTAGACTTCCATCTTACTCTGATGAGAAGACTGTTGTTATTACTTTCTATTTTTCCTTCCCCAGTATGTAAAATATTTGTCCTTGCTTTTCCACTTCCAAAGCAACAGAATCCAATACAATTTTTAACTGTATTCTCTTAGAAATTTGTGTGGCTCTTCAAACAGAGGACATTATAAACTTCTGTGTTTGGTAAATTCTTACATGTTACCCATATGAACACTTATTTCCTCATGTTCTCTCTCTTTATTATTGTGCTTGTGCAACAGTATAGGGGGGTTCTTAATGTATTCTCCTGTCTTCTAAAACATTTGGTCAGAAAGTATTCATTGTTTTAACTTCTGTAAGAACACTTCAGATGAGATTAATCCCCTTAATAAGTTCTAAAGTGTATGGTACACTATCATTAACTAGATAAAATGTTATTCAGCAAATCTGTAGGAGTTATTCATCTTGAATAACTGAAACTTTCTACCCATTAAACAGCTACTTATTTTCCTCTTTCCCTATATCTGGCAATAACCATTCTACTCTGTTTCTATGATTTTGACTATTTTCTATTGGGGGAGGGGCATAGTGGGGTTTTGAGCTTAGAACCTTGTACTTGCTAGGCAGGTGCTCTACCACTTGAGCCATGTTCCCAGTCCTTTTTTGCTTTAGTTATTTTTCAAGTATAGTCTAACCTCTATCCCCTTGATCTCCACTTACCATGTAGGTCCATGTAGGTGGGGTACAGGTGTAAGCCACTGTATTCAGCCTGATTTTGACTTTTAAAAGTCACAGAATTAACTAAGGTCTGAGTTTTCTTGTTTTTATTTGTTTGCTATCTCAGCATAGGGATTTGAATTCAGGGCCTGACATTTGTGAAAGAAGCACTCTTCCACTTGAGTACACCCAAAGCCTTTTTTTGCTTTAGTTAGTTTTCATGTAGGGTCTCACATTTGTATTGCAATCCTACTTAAGCCTCCCACATAGCTCAGATCACAGGCATGCACCACCACACCTAGATTGTTTGTTAAGGTGGAGTCTTGCTAATGTTTATTTCCCCTTAGCTACCCTCAAATTGCAGTCCTCCCAATGTCCACTTTCTGAGTAGCTGGGATTATAGATTATTTTGGTTTGGAATTTTTTGTATTTTGCTTCCACCCTTCTATGATATAAGGATATCTACATGGTGCCAACTTAAGGAATGGGATCTCACCAGAGACCAAACCCACTGGCATCCTAATTGCCAGCCCTGTAAGAAATAAACTTCTACAATTTATAAATTACCCACTCTCAGGTATTTTGTTA